GAAAGTCATCGAGAGTTCGTTGGAGGAGTGTCTCCTATTTCTGATTCTTTAACTATGCTCTCCAATGTTAACCCGAGGCGTAAATTCAACGGTTTTTGTGATTATGGCAAAGTTAGAGGACATAAGAACGATTCTTGTTATCGGCTCATTGGGTTTCCTGCAGATTACAAGTTTAGAAAGAAAAGTGTCATTGCTGCTTCAGTGTCTAGTTCTGTGAAGGACAACGAGCTTGGTCTGACTTCTTCATTGTCTGTTGCTCCTGTGTTGACTCCTGAATAATATGGTCATGTTTTGGAGCTGTTGCAACAATCTTCCAGTGTTGAGCCTGCGATTAATATTGCAGGTACTGTTTCTCGATTTTCTTTGCCTGAGAAACCTGTTACTTGGATCCTGGACTACAGATCATGTGTTAGACTTTAATGCCTTGAATAATCCTGTTTCTTGTAGCGATAGTTCTAGGCTAGTTCATTTACCAAATGATAATACTACTACTATCTCCCATGTTGGTACATCTCGTTTAACTTCTGCCCATACATTAAATAATGTCCTTTATGTTCCAAATTTTCAACATAACCTCATTCCAATATCAAAACTAACCAAAGACTTGGATTGTGCAGTTATTTTCTATCTTGATTTTTGTGTTATGCAGGACCTCTCCACTGGAAGGAGAAGGGAGATTGGTAAACGGTCTAGGGGCTTGTACTTATTTGGTTCTTCTCAAACAAAACCAATTGTTTCTCGTTTTTCTCAGCATGTTGGTTTGCCTTTTTCTTCACCTAAGAATTTCCAAGTTTTTCCTTCTCAATGTATGAGACTGTTTTGAATAATACATGTGTCTGGCATGCTCATTTAGAGCATGCTCCAATTCCTAAACCGAATCGTTTATCTTTTTTGAGCGGTCAGAAACTTGATTTGAATTGTGATAAGGAATGTGTTGTTTGTCCTTTGGCTAGGCAGTGTAGAGCACCTTTTCCTGTTAGTCATTCTAGGTCTACTAAGTTGTTTCAGCTTATCCATTTGGATCTCTGAGGCCCGTTTAGGATTTCAACTCATGGAGGCATAGGTACTTCCTTACCATTGTAGAAGGTTCTACTAGAATGTCGTGGATTTACTTGTTGAGACTAAAAGCAGATACCATTGTTCATCTTAAGAATTTTTTTTTGCCCTTGTTAAGAACCACTGTTTAGCTATGATTAGTATTGTTAGGAGTGATAATGGCAGTGAATTTTTCACATTCTGTGTGTAACCCTTTGTTTTCTGCTCTTGGAATTTTACATCTGTGTTCATACACCTCAACAGAATGGTGTAGCTGAACATAAGCATAGACATTTGTTAATGGTTGCTAGAGCTATTCGTCTTCACTCCAAAGTACCTATTAAGTTTTGGGGGAATGTGTTTTAACAACCTATTATCTTATTTATCTCTTGCCTTTTTCTGTGCTTGGTTTGAAATCTCCTTTTGAGCTTCTTTATAACAAACAACCCTCTTTTTCACACTTGAGGGTTTTCGGGTGTCTTCGTTATGCCACTATTCCTAATAATAAAGATAAGTTCGCTGGTAGAGCTGTTCCTTCAGTTTTTATGGGGTACTCTCCTACCAAAAAAGGGTTACGTTCTTTTCAACTTAGATACCATGTCTTTTTTTGTTAACAGGGATGTTACTTTTAGGGAAAATGTATTTCCTTTTCATGCTCCTTTGCCACCCACAAGCAGTTTGTTTCCATCTCATTCTCCTGTCTTTGATTCTGATTTTTCATATTTTAGAATCTTCTCCAGCTTCTGTTTTTTATGTAGGTTCAAATTACAAGCCCGATGAGCAAAGGTAATATGAAACCCAATATTAGAGTGAAAGATTGCACGAGCTTGCTTGACAAAAAGACCAAGGGTAGAAGTATCATCAATAAGCCCTGCAATCTTTTGAACAAGCATCAACGAATCCATTTCAAAATGAACGTATGTCCACCCTCTATCACAAGCAAGTTGAAGCCCAGTAAGAAGAGCATGATACTCCAAAAACTCGACTTCGAAACATCCTAAAGATGGTTGAAAAATGCCTCCAAGAACCTGACCTCTCCTGTCCCGTGCAATAACACCAACAGCAGTAATGCGACACACATCATCAAAGGCGCCGTCTGTATTTACTTTAATCACATCCGCCATTGGAGGTCACCACCTATCCACAACGTCTCTCAAAATAACACTGTTAGTTTTCATTCCATGTGCACGTTGATCTGTCTTCTCCTTAACAATCGAGCTCAAATACTCTTGATGAAAGATCTATACATTCGTAACCAGAACCCAAGGCGACTACAACCTGTTATTATGAACAAAAGAATTACGATTATTCCAAACATTTCACAAAATAACCAATAAGATAGCAAAATCATCATGCCCAATAATGGATAACGAATCCTCCAACCAAACTAGAGGATCAACCACCATGCTAAGAGTAACATTAGTAGGAATATCAGCAAGACATAGAATCTCTTGAGCTCGAGAACAACAGCGAACATCATGCAATGTTGTTTCTTCAGCAGAAGAACACATTGGGCAAATACCATCAGTCAACCCAGCATCTTTGAGATGACTACCCACAGTTAAGACATTACGAGCTAGACGTCAAGCAAAGATACGTATTTTTGAAAGCAATTGCAGCATTGAAATGACCAATCACACCCTAGATCTACGTTCATTATCATTGCACTTTGTATCCACCAATAACTTGTGCGAACGTAATACATTCGAGAATCGTGGTTGCCCCAAACAATCACATCCCCTTAACAAGGTGTGATGGGAACCGCCAACACCTACCTAGCATCAACATCAGAAAATACCCTACAAATCAGAGATTCATTCCACAAATTAGTACCAGACAACATAAGCTCATGGAAAAGAATAGGATTATGAGAAGAATCAATATAACTTCCTTATAAACACACTACTTTAGTCCCCCCATCTGTTAGAATGTACTCGAACACCACTCCCAATTCCAACTCTCCAGAAGAGCCCTCCACGCAAAGCTTGAAGAGACTTATGAAGACCTTTCCAAGCAAAGAAACTTTTATCTTTTAGAGCAGCATTCAATATATCCCCATCCGGATAATACTTCGCTTGAAACACTCGTGCAACCAAGCTATTAGGTTCTTGGATAAATTGCCACATATGTTTACCCAGAAGCGCCATGTTGAAGTTGTGAAGATCCCGAAACCCCAACCCACCAACACGCTTAGGCTTGCACAAAGTCTTCCAAACAACTAAAGGCCATATACCTTTATCAACATTACCATATAACCAGTAGCGTCTCATGGCACTAGTCATATCATTAATTAACCACAAGTAACAAGTAACACGACATCACATACTGCGATAATGCTTATGCCACAACCTTAAGGAACACCTCTCGACCAATGTAACAAGTTATGACCAAGGCTTTGTGAACTCAGCAACATAACAAGTTAACTTTCAAGTTAGGAGTTAAAAGACATTTTTCAACCCCTAACTTGAGGCGGAGTGTTAGAATTAAGTTTGTTAGTTGCTAGTCAGTTAATCTGTTAGGTGTTAGTCACTTATTTAGTAATCAATAGCACGTTTGTATATAAATGGACTCAATTGCTAATCAATAATATAAGAAATATTTTTCAAAAATATTTTCACAACTTATAATAATAATAATGTGCACATAGTTACAAATCTTCACTAGTAAAGTAGATTTGTTTCGATTAACGGGATTGATTCAATTGATAAGATTTATAATGATAATAATGTGCACATAGTTGCAAATCTTCACTAGGAAAGTAGATTCGTTTCAATTAACGATATTGGTTTAAGTGATAAGTAGCTTGATATTCTTTAAGCAGGTTTTGAGTTTGAGTTCTTGTGTATGCAAAAAAATCCCCATTAGGAGACTCACCCACCAAAATCAGGTTTGTGACCTGAGTTGGTCCGGATTAATCAAGGCGAAGTCTTGGGAACCAGGAGGGCAACAAAAAAACTAGATCCGTTTCAAAAAAAATGTATAAACTCTGTTATTTTTTTAAACGAGACTCCTAAAATATTTAATAATAAGGTAAAATTATAAAAATATCAAAATTCAAATGTATGAAACTAAGACAATGTTACAAAATAATTTTATTACATCACAACATTTTATTTAAAAAATATGTGTCTTGGATGTTCTTAAAAAATAAAATCATAATATGTTTTTGAAACGTGTGATTTTTAAATTTTGAGACCATATGATTGTATAACGGACATGTAGAAAAGCATCATTGACTGATGTAATTCAACAACACCTGAAATCTTGACTAGCTCTACAGTGTTGAATTGTTAAACCCAAGATCCCATTGTTGCTGATTTTCTAATTGTTTGTGGGATAATAATGAGCGGCTTGACGGGACTGCGTTTTGACAAGTTGGTTGAACCAGAGGGCGAGAGTGAAGTAGCTGTTGAGGATGGAAGATATGAGAAGAATTGAAAGACCTATTATAAAACATAGCCGGTTGACGGGACTGCGTTTTAATAAATTTTGTATTAAAATTTGTTTTTGTAGTCTTAAAATTTTATAAGTTCAGATTTGTCTTCTAACATAAAATATTAAAAATATTGCGTCGGTTCGTGTCAGCATGGTTCCATCCTCAACTTCAACAACAGGTAGTTCGCTCACAGCCTCCGGTACTTGGACCAACTTATGAAAACGCAGTCCCGTCAAGCGGCTCATTGTTATCCCACAAACAATTAGCAATGTCATTTTCCTTTATCAAAGAAAAAGAACACGTATCAATACCTTAAAGTTCTCCATAGGAATGTTCTTTCTCAAGGAAAAAACAAAACGCACGAGGTGGATCGTCGGTGGTCGAATATTGCAGATGAATGATCTGCATGGTGCTGTACAAGGAAACAGCCTTTTGTGTCACGTAAATCATGGCGTCTCCCATGCTCTCAAGTCTCAACCCTCTATATATATTGCTGCTTTCACTTGTTTGAGGAGCACTGCGTTTAAAGATGACTCGTTGGCTTGTCATATTCCTTGTCTTAGTTTCCCTATGCTCCGCTCTTTGCGTCCGTCCCGAAAACCCTCCACCACGTCGGGTGGGTTCTCCCTCTCCAGCACCTTCCATTGTCGGTAGTCCGGGGACTGGAGCTGGCAGTGGAGGCGGCGGTGGTGGTGGAGGAGGAGGAGGCGGTTCATCAGTTAGCTCTGGGTCTGGGTTCGGATCAGGAGGTAGTCGTGGTGGAAGTGTGGGTGGTGGTGGTGGTGGTGGTGGAGGTGATGGCTATGGCTTTGGAAGCGGAAGCAGTGGAGGAGATGATGGCGGCAGCATGCCTAGGAAGGTTGGGAAGAGTACTTGATCAGGCTTTTCATAAAAAACGATCAAAAGCATTAATGTTTCCTTTATATTTGTATGTGTGTTTGTTGTTGCTTGTTCAAGTGTTAATCAAGTTGTTAAGCTTGTCTGTGCACAAGCATGTTGTGTTCTATGAATAAGACATTATGTCGTTATGGTAACATTTTGAAAACCTATATATTTTATAATAAGATGTTTTTTAAATTAAAATATAACTAAAGATTAATAAAATTTCAAATAGAGTTTGAGTTATAAATCAGAACTTAAAACTTTCAGTAACTTGTGGATTTGTTTTTAAATTCAAGTTGAGTCCGTCAAATTTATATAATATATATATATACATAACATATTAAAAAATACGAAGAAATATATATCAAATTTAAATTATAAACTATTATGGTTCCAACAAACAAAATTCTCACTACACTCTTGTTGCCTACATTAATTATACTGATTTAACTTTTAAGCATTTGTTTTAATCTAATTCTTAAAAAATGTTTCGTATATGAATATATACATAATAAAAAATAATTTAAAGCTAAAATAGAATAAAATGGCTGTCCCTTTTTTCCCATATGTATGGGGTAAGGGGGAGGTAAGATAGTAGGCTGCCCCCAACACCAGGTTGAGAGCAGCTTCCGTAGGAGACCTCCAAATTATGAAATGCCCTCCGTGGGACTTGATCCCACGACCTCAAGGTTTAGAACCTTGTGCTCTACCAACTGAGCTGGATGGTCATTTCAAAAAATATTATTAAACGGATTGTACAGTGTACAAATGATTTTAATTGAGCTTTTATATTTAAATTAAGTTTTTTATATCTAATATATATAAATTATTAAATTGAGTTTTTTAAATTTAATTAATAATTTTAATTTTTATTAAAAATAAAATTTATTCACGATGTTACCGCCTGAGCTTGAGTGTATTCACTATGTGTTTCATGTGTCGATGTTGCATAGGTATCGGTTGGATCCTTCTCATGTCGTTCTGATGGATGAGGTTGAGGTTTGTGTCGGTCTTTCTTATGTGGAAGAACCGATTAAGATTTTAGCTAAGGATGTGAAAGTGCTTCCTAAGAAGTATGTTCCATTAGTAAAGGTGTTGTGGTGTCCGAGGAAGCAACGTGGTAGTCCGAAGAGTTGATGAGAGCTCAGTTTTCGCAGTTGTTCGATTAAGGTAATTTCAAGGACAAAATTCTTTTTAGGGGGAGAGTTGTAACATCCCCAAATCGGGTCTGATAGTTTCGAGTCGGTACATGGGTTGGTTTTCAGATTTTCGGTAAAAATAATAACTTGGTATTTTTGAAGTATTAAATAATTTTGGAAGTGGTTTAAATGGTTTGGAATTATTAGTTTCTATTTTTGGAACTTAATAATTTAATTTTAATAGGTGGTTAAATTGAATATTTTTAAGGTTGTGATTTTAGTGGCTAAAATGTAAAGATCACAAAATCGAAAATCTATGAAGCCTATTTTACTAAGGATTATGATTAGTGTTTTCCCTTCTAAATTAATTGTATCTTAATTCTTCTTTTTTGCCAAAATTCCATCTAGATTCATTTTCTAATCTTTTCTAATTTTCATTTTAGTTTTGTGATTAACCATTCATTTTCTTTTTTCATAATTTTCTATCGTATCTATTTTCTCTCAAAATTCTCTCATGGCTGAAATCTTTCATCTTTTTCAGTTCTTTTGTTATTGGTTTTCTATCTCCTTCATCTTAATTCTCTTTTCAAAGACAAGATTGTTCGTCTTTCTTTTCTCTTGTTTTTTCTTTAATCCTCTTTGGAGAATGTCATGATGATCATTCCTTTCCTTCATTATCTTTTCCAGAAAGGTAACGGTTCTCCCTTGGTTCTTTTTTTTTCCTTTAACGATTAATGATCTATGTGGTCAATGCTCTTGATTTATCTTTCTTTTCTAAAGAGGATTTGTGGATTTAAAGATGATTTTCATTTTTAATTAAAGAGCTATTTTCCTGATTTTATTTTGAGGTTTACTTGACATAATTGAGGTGTTTTTAGAGTGATTAAAATCATATTCAATCAGTTTTTCATTTGATTATGGTTTGGATATCGATTTCTTCAAAAACAAGTGTGATTTTGGCGTTTTTGGGAAATCCAATAATTGATTTTCGTTGTTGCTGGTTTGGATGGTTTAAGTGGTGATTAGGAGTTAATTTTAGTTATTCTTAATTACCTTTAGGTGAGGCAAAGTGGTGTTAAGGTGTTAGGAAGCTTTGGTTACATGATCAGTTAGTTATTCGGTTGATTCTATTTTTTTGCTCTATTTCGGTGGCAGAATTTCTGCTCTATTTTGAGTATCTTTTTGATGTGTTGTGTTTTTTTTCAATGTATTTTATAAATTGGTTGTTTAGGAAAAATGGTGCTTAGTGTGTTGGTGATCATTTCCTATGTGTGTGGAAGTCGTTTTGCTTAGTGGAAGGCAAAGGTGACTGGCTTTCATTCTGTGTATGAACTTGTTCAAAGGTGAATTGAGGTATAGCATAGAGTGACTCTTAATCTAGAATTCAAATAATGATGAATCTTTATTGATGCATTTATTGAATATGTGATGTGACATAAATTGTGAATGTTATATGTGAATTCTGATTGTGTTGCAATGATGCATAGAGATTTCAAAAGTGTATTCGAAAGTGATTATATATTAAGTGAAAGTGAACATAGATGAGTTGACCTTCTCGCTATCCATATAAGTGCGGTTGATCATGACAACCAAAAGTGATAGTGTTTCAAAATGTGTTTGAAATTGTATAAGTGAAACTATGCATCATTGAGAACCACTCTTGATGAACATGGATTAATTGGCTATTTGTTCTTAATGGGACCTTTGGATATGAAAGGAATGCCTTGGAAAGAGTACTCTAAGTGTTTTATTCAAGTTTAACTGATATCAGGATTATACCGGGTAAGATTGGTGAGCTGAGCTATGCTCCGCAAACATCACGGGGTCAAGTTGGTTTATTGAACTTTGCTCCGAAAGTTGTGGATTTTGGACTTATGCGAGTCCACAAATAAAATGGATTTGCATGGAGTCTGTTTATCCAATGAGTGAGTATTGTTTTGGACAAAGGCCATTAATCTTAGAATGAAATAAAGTGTGCATTGTGTGTGACTTACCGAAAAGGTAATAGTGCATGTGTATGTGTTGAATGCTGGATATATGAAGAATAATGACATGCATGTAATTTGGAAATTGTGTTTAATCGTGATGCATAAAACCATGACATGAGTATATAAATGTCGAGGTAAAAACAAGTGAAGAGTGAATGCATGTAGGGCTTGCCTTTAGCTTTGGATTGTGCATTACTTAGAATGTTGGTTATTCACTGGGCTTACAACTGACACTCGTTGTTTAATACCTTTTTTAGAGGACTAGTTGATGTGTTAGAGGCAAGGAGCTTTCACTCAAGGTGATCGAGTAAGGCAAAAGTGAATAAAACGTATGTGGCTATTTTTCTAAATGTGGCAATGTGGAGTCCTTAAAAAATAGACAATATTGATATTCTTTTGATGTAATAAGATTTTGTTTTTGTTGTGGAACATTGGTTTTTGGTGTTGGATTTCGTTTGGTAGGATTTGAAGTATTGAATTATTGGAATGAAAGTTGTTGTTTACTTTGATGTGGAAATTTACCAAATTTTGAAATATGTCTTATGTAAGTAGTTGGTGAGCTTAGACAAGTGACATTAAGTTTACTAAACGTACTAGACTTATAGGAAGCATGAGATGAGCCAAAATGCATAATTGGACTAGGTGACTTGTGCTCTAAGTGAATTTTTATGCAATCTTTGACTTTTAATGCCAAACTCTTGTATGTTGTTGTGATTGGTGTTATGAAGCATGCTACAAGTGTATTTTTTATATGTATAAAGTGGTATGATATTTTCCAAACATGTATCTAGCCCTAAGAAAAATTATGTGGAAGTTTGGTAAATCAATTATGCATGTTTTGAGAATTCTGCACTTTTCCAGAAAAATGACTAATCCCTTTTCAAAAAATATCATCCCTTGGCCTGAAGAATCGATCCCAAACTCACTGTTTTGCTAAAGATCGATCCTTGTGAAAAAAAGGATTGATCCCTTAGCTGTGTAGCTCGATGAAAAGTTGAGAAATTACAATCATTAAAGATCTGAAGTGTCCCCAAGTTTATTTTGACCCCAACATGTTTGTGTAAGTTCAAATCGATCTAGAAATTGATTTGCTAAATAATGATAACCCTTAAATTGGATTTTATTGAGACTTGAGCTATCACCCTTAAATATATCCAATTTGATAATGGAAGTTTCAATTGTATGCCTGATGGGTACATGATGTTTGAAATGTTTACGTTTTGGTCCTTAGGGATGCATGTTCAATTAAAGGCTCGAATGATGTTTGATTGGTATGAAATTTTGCATGTGACTAATTGGTAACTAACTAAGACTTATACTAAACTTAATTTGGTGTTTGGATGTTTAATTATTAGGATGATGTGAAATGTATGTTTTACCCATGTTTGACTAATAATGTTGTTATAATGATTTGATGCCTTAAATGACGGTGTATTAGATTTTATGCTTCGCCGTTACATTTTTTAAAATACATGATTTAAATTTATATTTCCTCGTAGTGCGCATGATAGGATTTTATTCGTTTGATTTGATCAAAACCTAATGTATGATAAGGTATCCGGGTATAAGGTGTTACACCTTTTGCATTGCATTCGCTTTTTCATCTGTGTATTTTGCACCTGTATTGCATGTATTTAAGGATGTTGCATGCATTAATCATGAAAATATGGAATTAATTTATTGAAGATTCAATGGCAATGGTTCTAATCACTTGACACAGTACAAAGAATGGAAGCAAGATTTGAGCAACTAAAGAAAGAACTTCAAGAGAATTTACAGAGAATGCAAACAAACTGGGAAGTCAAATTGGAACAATCACAAAAGACCGTTGTGGACTGCATCATACAAAATAAAGCCAACATGGTTGA